GACTCACGGAGAGACGGCCCGGCCACAGAGGAGGCAGCGAGGGGGCGGAGGGGGCGGAAGGGGAAACGAGGGCAGAGACGAGAGAGGGAAGGCAAGGGCTCCCAGCTTCGCGCTTCGCGCTGCGCGAAACGCGAAGCGCGACTAACTTCGCGCTCTCGCGCCGCCTCCCAGGGGGGAAAAGGAGGAGGAGGAGGAGGAGGAGGAGGATGAGGAATCGGAGCCGAACCGCGAAGCGCGAATAACTTCGCGCCCTCGAGGGCGCCCTTGAAGGACTGGCCGAGTCTGGAATTGGTCCCAGGCAGAAAGCCCCTCAAGAGCTCCGATCGCCCCGAGCTCTCCTTGGTGCTCGGGCAAGTTTGCCACCGCCGCCCTGACACGAGGCAAAACCACCACATGAAACATAGAAAGTAACAGGCAGATCAGGCTCCTCCTCCCGAGCCCAATGAAGCTTGTGGTGCTCACCCGCCCCCTCCCTGAAGGAGGGCGGCAAGGGCGGGATCCAAATCTTCACATTGGATGGGGGAGGCGGAGTCAGGTCCCACAGCCCTCAGACACCTGATACAACTGTGGATGCTGCCATGCTGGACAAGGACATGGAGGCCCCTGGGAGGCTTGGCCCGCGGGGCCCGCGGAGGCCTCCGAAGCTCACCACAAATCTGCTCGGCCGACGGGAAGCATGCAAGGAAAGAGCACACCCATACAGTCGGCCTTGATTGGACAGGACACGCGAGAGGACACAAGGCCCTTCCGAGGGCCACATCGCCACAGGAGTGTATGAAGGCACGTGCCGCGAGGCACGGGACACAAGGGCACCTATTGGCGATCAATGGGCGCTCGGAGGTCGATGCGTCCCCCCTGTGCCTATTCCCCCCCCTATCGTTGCCCCCGATTCAGGCGGGCCGGATCCATCCCCGCGCCGGCCACCACCAGGCATGTCTGACCCGCCACCGCCCCGAGGACCACCACATCCTCCAGGGTCCGATCCTCCTGCCCGGGACCGCCAGGGCCAGGTGGGGGCCACCTCCGCCCTGCCTCCCTGCCACAGGGACGCTTGGCGGCTTCCACTGGCCACCATATGGATGGCATTTCTTCTATCAAGGGAGGGGGGGGCTGTTATCCTCCTGACTGAGCCTGCCCAATCCCGACCTCCTCCATCCTCCTCCCCCTCCTCCTCCTCTTCCTCCAAGCCCCCCTCCACCCAATCCGACAGCACGTGCCCAGCCCCCCCCCGGGCGGATTCAGAGGGGGGGGGGGGCGATTCTTGCCCCACCCAGAGCAGGCAGGATCCTCATCGCCCCCACCCCCTCCAGCCCTGGCGCCGGGCCCTGCTCCGCCGGCTCCAGACTTCCCAGCCTGGAACATATCCCTATCCCTATGCTGGGCATCTCCTCATCACGACGCCAATCTTAGGGGTTCTCTTACTTTTTGAGGGCGAATCCCTAAGACTGTCATCGCCTTTTGGCGTGTCAATCTTACGGATAGGGATACGTTCGAGGCTGGTGACAGACCCGTCCTGCTTTCTTCCCGGCGCGGGGCAGGAGCCGAGCCCCGGCGCCCGACCGGGAGAGGCTCCGAGCAGCGTCCCGGCGCCCGGGGGCGCTCCGGGCTGCTCGGCCGGGCGTCTCGCAGCTCGTCGACCGCAACTGCCGCGGCCGCTGCCTCGGCTGCTGTAGTTTCGGCGGCCCTTGCCAGTCTTGCGGCTTCTCTTCTTATCATGATTACTGTTCGTGTTGTTTCTAGCACTGCTAGTCTGATCATTGCTGGTATTGTCATCTAAGATTGTTATGATGATATGATTATGTCATTGACCTTATAGCCGCTCCTGCTCCCCTACTTCACTTCAAACTCGGCGGCATCCTGTTTATCATGCTCTTTTACCAGTTCCTCCTTCTGGAGCTCTTCCCGTTCCAGCGCTCGAAGCTCGCCCGTCATAATGGAACGTGCTTGAGCCTGGTTCTTGGCCCTGAGTTCACGGACGGCCATCTGTAGTGCTTCGGAACGTTCCTCCCTCGTTTTGGCGGCACTTGCCTCTTCGTCTGACACTTCTCGCTCTGCGGCCTCTCGCTGACGCCGCAGCTGTTATGTTCCTTCCTCTATGGCCTCCTTGAGCGTTTCTTTCATGGAGAGGGCCTTGTCTTCGCATCATCGGTACAGGGTGGTGCAACCCGGAAGCAGGTCCCGCAAACGGGGTTAAAGCGCCCAATAAACGTAGAACCCCGAGTCCTCCTCCTCCTGCTACTACTACTACTACTGCTACTACTACTACTACTACTACTACTACTACTACTACTCCTCATCCTCGTCCTCATCCTCATCCACCATCCTCATCATCATGTTCCTCATCATCTTTCTGGTCAAATTCCTCGTCTTCCTCCTCCTCCTCATCAGCAGCATCATCCTCATCAACATTATCAACATCGTCATCATCAGGAACAGTATCGTCATAATCGTAATCATCATCACTATCATCATGATCATAATCATCGTCATGATCAGCAGACTCATCATAATCAGCAGCATGAGCAGCAGCATCATAATCAGCATCATCATCATCATCATCAGCATCATCATCATCATCATCGTCATCATCATCATCGTCATCGTCGTCATCGTCATCGTCATCGTCATCAACAGCAG